TCGTTTTAACATGGTGTATAGTTGTGGTGGTAGTAGACTTAAAATCAAGTCACGGACTTTTTTGGCGACTAGAGGAGGAAGGATAGAACACGAGTCTCTACAACGAATTCCTTCAGATTTGATATTTTGTCTCGTAAGATAATGCTCTAGTTGAGCAAACCGTAACTCAGGGTCACTACGATCAAATTCTAGAAGTCGGAATTTTGTAGTCACAACAGTTTCTATCTCCACTGGTAATAAATCTTCCAGGTTTTGGGTTTTGTATTGAGTCTGACATAAGATATATGACCAAAATAGTTATATAATGAGCATGAAAAATGATCACTACTACACGAATATTTTAAGATAAAAAACAATTTATAAATATGTATACCAAACTTTGGTTACAGATAATCAGAAGGTTCATTTTTACTACTGATTAAAAAGTAAATTTTATGATAAAGAATGAAATCAAATTTGTACTTCACAGGGCTCACCAGTTTCGTGCCTTTAGGTAACCCTCTTGCTATTGATAGAAAAAACCAGACAAGTAGTGAATAGGTCTTTAATAGATCTTTGCGCAGTCACAGTGGAGCATGAGATTACCTGTTCATTCAAACAGAGCTTTTCAACATTCAACATACGATAATAGGAAACATAATGCCTATACAAAATAAGGAAGTGAATGAATACATGGACTCTATTGTTTTGACATATACTTGGATTCAATAGTTGAAATCATGTGTCAATTGTAGCTAGACCACCATAGAAAACCTGGAGGCAGTGGACGGCCGTTTCATCCTACTGTGGGACTGCCCAGCAGTGCGCATCCACGATCCCACAAGGCAGGATCAGTGACTAGTGGAGTACAACCGGGTCTGTTGTGCTAGGTGCGTCGCTCAGTTTCATGGGTTGGTTGAAGTTAGGCATTAACAAAGTTGGATGCCGCATCAGTAGTCTAGTGGTCATGCGCTCACGCGCGAGACTGATATCGAGTATCACAAGGCGGACTCATGGATGCGCCCTGTTGAGGAGTCCCACAATAGGACGTGACGGCCGTCCAGTGCCTCCAGGTTTTCCATGGCAGTCTAGCTTCAATCGATACATGATCTCAACTATTGATTTTGCTACAATTTACACAAACCCCCTTCTGATATACTTAGTTGTTTGAGGTCAACTTTTAACCAATCATCCTAAGCTGTTACAGTTGCAAGAACACCTGGATGGGTTTGTGCGACGTATGGAAGGTGTTGCGTTGATAATGTTTCGACACGATTGAACGATCCTTATCTATAAATTTGTCGCATAATAAAGTTTTCTTACCTTTCCCCATCTCTTTAATACGCAGTTTTAGGGTTGTTGAAGATAACACGTGCTAACAATCAGCATCCTGTTTCCGAGCTCAATAAGGTCGATGCCTTAAAGACTGTTTAAAGATGTCCTACGGGACAAGGCGTCTGCAACTACATTGCTTGCTCCAGAAACGTGTTGTATATCTGAAGTAAGCTGTGAAATGTATTCCAGTTGTCCAGACTCTCGAGGGGAGTACTTGTCTGAAGATGAGCTTAAAGAGAAAGTAAGACGTTTATAATCAGTAAAAAGGGTGAATTTTCGGCCATCAATAGAGTGTAGAAAATGCCGTACAGCACAATACATAGTTAGAAGTTCCCTACCGAAAGTGCTATACTTGGATTCGGTGTCTAGCAACTGTCTTGAGAAAGATACCAAAGGTCCCATAATGTGGTTAACCCATTGTTGTAAGACTACTCCGATTGCTGAGTCGGATGCGTCTACTGCGATACTAATGGGTGCCTGAGTGTGCTGATGCACAAGCATGGTTGCTTTTACGATAATTTTTTAATCGTGTAGAATGCCTTCCTCGTGGTATCATTCAAATTGATGGATTTCGCATTTCCTCAAAGTTGGTCGGTTAGAGGTTCCACAAGGGACGCGCAGTTTGGTATGAACCGTCAATAGAAACTTACAACGCCATTAAATATGCATAATTGAATAATGGTGGTTGGTTCTTGGTAGTCCAGGATGGTCGCCGATTTGCCTCTCATTGGTCGGATACCTTGAGCACCTTATGTTGACAACACCTTGTGTTATGAATCGTACCCACTAAGTGAAATCAAAAGACAGAAGCGGAGAGGTTCGAAGATACATTTGATAGGCTCTCGATATATCGAAGATCGTCTGATTTAATCTGACTAGCGATTGCAGGGGATGTTGAGCACGGCGTTTCCACTCATAATCTGTTGCGGATGCATGACCGGGCGCATTCATCTAGGTGAGCCCATTAAAATTAATGTGGTCAGCATCCACTGTCGGAGATTTACTGATCTATTAATTTTGGGGATTAATTTACCGCTACAATGAACTTATTTCGAGGCGAAAAACTGCTAAAACTAGCAACCATCGAGTACATTTGTGCGGATTACGTTTACGTTCGTCGTCAACCTGTCCAACAACATTAGCCAACACCACATTTCCTTAAACCATCACCACAATGGATGGTTCTGCGTTGTTTTATCCCATTTGTGACGTAAGACTTTCCGAGTAAGTGCCTTATATTCTCTAGTGCTTACTGATTATCTCGATTTCGGTCCAAACCTGGAGGTACTTCAACCTAATTTTGAGTCAAAATAATAATTCAGCAAATTATACGTGTTATACACTAATGGTGAGAAACTCAGATCACTACACAAAAGTTTTTAGTGAGAACCAGGGATGGTTTACATACTGAAACCTGACCTCGAAAAGCTGTCAAACTGTCATATGCTAACAGGATTTTGGTGGAGCGTAGTCTATGCAGGTTTTGTAGACAAAAGTACTGTCCCGCAATAAATACTGAGCCACACACATATACTCCTAGATATATTCCTTTGCTCTGATAATGAGCGATAGTTATAACTCATCTGACATAAACATCTGCAAGGTCAACAACAACCCGGTTCTGAGAGGCATTAGGGAATATATTTTTGGTACCGTAATATACATATCACGCTGACCAAATTATTAGTGTATAATAATTATTATTATTTCACTCTCCGTATTCAATACAGTGCCACCATATCTTGGCTTCTGTACAAACAATTGGATTCCATAGAAACAAATACCAGTTTGTCCATGTTGCAGAAGTCATTCACAGCAGTTGATAAATGTAAATTTTATGGGACAGACCGAGATGCCCGCCAAAAATGTTGATAAACCACTTACATGATTTCAACGAGTTAATTTTGTTTATTACTTCTTATCACATAACAATATCTGTATACGCGGTTACGAACGACGCTGTCAAAAGTGGTCGTCCCAGGCTCAGGGTCACATATTTGATAGGGTTAAGTAGTGAATTCAACTTCTAGCGGGATTTTTTTGATATATGCTTTCCCATTCTAATATATTTGTTCCCATGATGTTTAAACCATGTCTGTTCCCCTCCAGACTGACAGCATTTCGTCAGACCGAACACCCGCGTAGGACCCAATATTTGTGTTTAACTACATATTTATTTTTAATTTCGTAATTGTTTTACAAGAGTAATAGGATGAATCTCCGGGTTTGTCTTAATCTATCCATTTATCGCTTTTATGAGGTAAACGTTTTTATGTTTAGAAGTTTGTGTGCTTAAATCGGGACCTCCTGCTCTATTTGTTCTATACATGTTAATAATAACATATCACAACCATCTTGAAGTCTTTCAAACCTCTATACGACGACGGGTAAATATAATGCCGAAAAAATCCGCGCTTACAATATTGTGATGTCTTTGAAGATTTATTTTATATGTTTAAATATGTCACGGATATTCAGGATTTCACAAAACTTTTATCTGCAACATTCCTATAATCGAAAGATAAAAAGCCCAATCAAACAAGTAGTTAATATTGCAGCAGTTAGATCTAAGCTGGCTAGTAGTTGTAAGGAATTCATAGGATGGAGTGCTCAACAGTGATATTTTGCGAATGAGTGACTAAGCGCCTCCAGCTAGGTTGTGTCTAGTAAAAATAATGAGGTCACCATCAATGTCAAAAACGTAGAGAACTGTGGTTTAAGACTTGTTTACTGCTGATTTTCACTCACTTAGTCGTTAAATAGCCTTTCCTTTTTGTTCTGCCGTAGGACAAAGAGTGCAACTGGTTTGCACTAACTCGTGTCCCGTCTGTCACTGAAAAATTTCTAGAACGTATGTTATTCCTCATTTTTGGATTCATTGCAACAACAGTCGGTGGACCAATAATTTGCACGCTCATTCAGATTGATTAGTCAAATGTGAATAATAAAAAGGATATAAGCTCACTCTCATGGATTTTCATGTCACATCATTATTTACAGATCCTGGTGGGATGCTACAAGGTTCGCATTTAGCTCTATGATCAGCACCATTGTAGTGGTCTCTTTGTACTCCCGTCATCCCTGATGTAGCTGCTTGTTGAAAGTAGTGTTGAGAGTTCAAGTCACTTCTTCGTTGTTAGACCATGTAACAAACATTCGTAGAATATCATTGTAAGCGCTATACACCATTTGATTCTCCTGACCACGCTCTTAGTGCCTGGTATTTTACCTTACCATATACACAACTAAGATCTCAGGCCAACGCTGATCGGACTATGGAGTTGAAGCATCACTGAACGACGAAACATTACTGACTTAATATTTATCCTAGCAACGCAAATGACCGTATCTTATAACATTTCTACCCTCGAAAGAAATACTCACTGCTTCAACTTTTCGTCCATCACTATAATAAACACCTTGTATCAGCTTCTATCTGTTGCAACATAACTGAGCTACTTTACACTCTTATTCGGTTCACTTACTTAACAGGTTAGTCCTGTATATGGAATGGAAACAATTAGACTGCCATGAAACTTAAAACAATCATACTTTCTGTGAACTTTATCAATAAAGATAATAAGATCATTTTCGTCTTCCATACAATGATTTCACACAGTAAATTAATGTAAGTCTATTTGAACAGGAAATGTAGCTGAACCACACAACCAGCAAAAGTGAAACTAAATAAAGAAACATTTATTGATCAAATTACAAAAACTTATCAATATTTTAAAGGGAATACAAACTTTATACAAATGGAATCCCCTCAAAGGAGGAAAACGTTAAAAAAACGTTACTTAGCTCTTTGCATTTGCCGTAACCTATATAAATCCATAGGTACATTACAGCCGAGAGTAGCAGCCGACAAAGGATTTCTTAACTCTGACCCAGAGCCAAGAATCTGACCCCCTAATAAGGCAGCTGCACGTTCATCTTCATCATCATCATCGTCGTCATCATCCTCTTCTTCTTCATCTTCAGAGTCGCCAAAGGCATTTAGATTTGTTCGTTTACGCAATTTAGATTGATTAGCCACAGAAGCACGGTTACCATGTCCAGCTAAACTATCTAAAGCTATTTGCTGTCGACGTTTACGAGCAGCCAATAAAAGTGGGGCAGCGGAAGTCGCTGTACTAGCCAATTCAATGGATAAAGCTGTACCAGAGTCAATACTTGTAGCTAATTCTTCAGATTCACCTGCAACAACTTCCATATAATCTTGACAGAATGAAGACACAGAATAATTGTCAACAGATTTACTTTAACGGGTAAATAATGATAATAGTAATTAAAACTGATCAAATATCTCATCGAGAAACATGAATTGAAAATGATCACACAAGAAACAGAAGTGAGTCAATATTCGTTTTCTGTTTTCAACTATTACGCAAACAATAGAAGCTCAAGTTAAAAATTTTTTTAACTGTACAGAAACAGTATTTCCGTAAACATAATGGCATTACAAGACAAAATGATGCTCTTTACACAAATGGTTCGTGGAAATATTTCCACCATGAATTGGAATCTACCTCTATTAGTGCCTCTTTCCATATACGAAAACTATGTAAGAGCATGTATCATATCGCTTGAACCTAGGCTAAATATCTACACGAAACAGTTATTCGGTCGTGATCGACTTGTGACTTTTTAGTTACTATCATAACGGATCACCGTTGAACATGAGAAATCATTTGACTGAATGGATAGGAGAGCCGTATGAAAGCTTTTTAGACACTATGGTGTGCCTAAGAAGATCGTCTCATAAACAGCGAGAAATGAAGGTGAAGATAACCGGTGTAGCACCGGATTCTGCAACAGTAGGCCCAGACATTTACAACGGAAAAAGCGAGACCCCTAATCACGATACTGTGAGCGTCGACGAAATCCCACTTGATGACTATGCTCTGGAAGAGGTGTAAACTTTTACATAACCGGACACTATAGTTGGTAAACAAAGGCGATCTGATTCAGATGTGAAGGCACAGACTGCTAAGAGCAAGGGTACTATTCCCACAACTAAGGAACTCAGAACAACTGTCAGTCAACATCAAAATCAGAATTTTTTAACACAAACTCCAAGACAGTCCCATGGTACGGAACAGAAATCGGGGGAACTAATATAACTCATCAAAAAGGGACAGGCATTAATAAACCGATGTTTACATGAGACACTCCAGATCCATTGGCCAGACATATTTACCAAGGACCTACTGTGGCAAAGAACAAACCAGCTTTTAGATGAAGAAATTGAGGAAAGACACTAGAGGTGGGAAAGAAATACATTGTGGAAAACATCGAGCTTCATTGCGAGGTTAGTACTAACCTAGAATCCCCAAGGGAAAATAGAAAAGAGGCAAACTAAGGAATATATTGCTCCGGGAATCGGACACAGATTTCAGAAGAATGAACAGCACTTGGCAAAAACTGGAAAGGACAGAGTTGGTTAGAGAATGCTGGTCAAAGGCCTATTCTGCACGAGGGGTAACAGGAGTAAGTAGATAAATAAGTAAATTGCTGCTGCATGTAAATAAGAGTATGTATGTGATAGTTTCGATAATTTCACAAAATGATACCGACAAAAAAGTTGATTGATTAGCTTGTGACAGACCTTTACAAAACGATAGACATTAATATTTTTTGTCTACAAATAGTACATAAACACAAATGATACAATTAGCACAACAAAGCTAACCCAATACGGAGTCCCAAACTAGGATAAATAACTGTCCAACGACTCCTGACTTTTAACGGTTTGTAAGCTATGGTCTGAGATGTGATATATCAGCATAGGTTTAAACAATGGTAAAATAATAAAACAGTGGATGAATGATAATTATTAAATAAATTTCCATTTGCTGTAATGACGGATCAATATATTTAAATCCACTTACCATCAGGGATTTCCAATTCTAGGAAATGTTCCAAAAATTTATCTACATCAACAAATGGACCGTGAAAACATTGTGGCGGTGGAATTAGTTTCAGTAAAGAGGAAGCAGCCGGTGGTGGTGGGAATTCACCACCAGCTACTGGGTGACTCCCAGTACGTGGATAAGCTTTCGGTTTAAATGGTAACATCTGACTGACATCAGGCTGCGGATAAGTTGGCCTTGGGTCAGTTCCATTGATTGTTGAACCAAGAGCATCACCTACGACTACGCCTGCACTACCACCAGAGACACCAGATAGTGTGGATCCTAAAGAGACCCCAGCAGCTCCATGGGAAGAGATCACACCGCACAATATATCATCATACCCTTTGCCAATTCCAGCCAGCTGAAAGCGAGTCAGTTCCTATAAAGTAAATTAAATGGTAATTGTTTTAAATAGTATTCACATCACACAAAAAGTGATGGTATCATCAATTCTAAAAGAAAACAAACAAAATAAACAGGTGAACATACACTTACTCGATAACCCAAAGATCTAAGCTCTGAATCTGTACATGGTAATAAATCTAGGAAACGATATCTATCAATCAGAAGTGCGGTTTCTAATCTTGAAAATTCTTTCGAACTATCCAATGCTTGTAAACGTCGTTTTTCCACTTTCAGAATACTAGCCAAATCACCAACCTGTTGAAAAAAAACAGTAAAATAATGGTAATAACAGTAAGGAAGTAATTTAAAAATTAATATATTTCATTTGTTGAGTGCATGTATGATAATTTCGGCATTAAGTTTCACTATTTGTGCGAGGACTACTGATAATATCCTGTCATCCAAACTGCAACATTAGGTGTAGTAGGTTCTAAACATGCGATGCAAATGTTCCCCAATGATGGTGTACACACTCAAACTCCAATCAAACATTAATAGCTCCAAACCAAATTTATTAGTTTAAAGGTTAAGCGCTTGACGTGAGTCCTGAAGGTCTTGGGTTCGATTTTTAGTGGAGTCATGAACGACCACTGCGATCGCACATCTGTGCGTCCTATGTTGATTTTGTCTGTTAAACAATCCCATGCTATAACAAAATAAATACCCACTGTTTCTCGGTTTCCCATGGTCGTCTAAATTAAATTAATCCACCATGTAAAATTACATATTCAGCACACTTCATAACCCGCCTCACTCCTACACAAAAAATTATAATCAGTTGGGGAATGGTTTTATTTCCTTAAATTCAATTACTGTAGATTTTAAAGTATGTAGGTAACATGAGTAAATTACTTTTTATAACAAGAATATGTAGAATACAAATATTGAATAAAAACGAACGTAAAAAAAATTATCCAGTTACCTGTGATTCAAACTGTAAAAATCTAGCCCATATAAGACGTGCACGTTCTTGTGTAATTTGATTTGATCCTAAAGCTCGTTCAAATAACACTCGTATATTATTATCCTCATTTAAATGTGCCATAAAATCAACATAGCACAATACATATTCCGCAATACCACCGAAACGTTTCATGCCTAACTCAAATATTTTATGTCCAATAGTTTTATCCTAGTATGATGAAGTGGAAAAGAACAAATAAATAAACAAGAAAAGTTACTAGAAAATAGAAAACAAATAATGAACGTAGGATGAATTAGCAACAGTTCGAAAACTGTTTACACGGGAAAATATATGGGACAAAATATGAGTTCCCATGTTTAATGATTTTACTCTCCTAAAAAATGTCTTTTATATGCAAATAGATGATACAATGTACTCAACATGTATGAGGGTCATCATTCAGTAGGTGTTGTCATGATGATTTTGAAACATTGGTCTCGGAGATTGTGTCAACGCAGTAGTCTTCATAATAAGCACTGTTTTTGAAGAAAGCATAGAAAGATGGCTGGTTAATGGCAGTGCAGTGGGATGGAGGATTATTATGTCAGTACATCACTAAACACTAGATGGATTCCTAAAAATCATGATCGAAATTATTCTTATAATTATAATGAAATTTATTTTTAATAGCCAAATAGTAACATATGCGACCACAAGTTACAGAAACGCTAATTTACAAAATACAGGGTACACCATTTCGATACCCTTTGAAATGCTTTTCATTTGCGACAATATAACTGCCTCATTCCCATTATTTGAAATACCGCCTGAAGTCCTATCAAGACAGGCATTTTAGAGACCTAACTTTTTAACTGCAAGTATTTTTAGGACCGTCTGCGTAAACAATTTTCCCAAATTAAGTTCATAAGAATAGTGAATCAGTTATCAGAAAGCACAAAGGATAGCATACATTCAATATTTTCATTAACACAGGAAGTTGATGTTCCCTTTGGATTTGTATTATACTTCCAGTAGTGATGACTCTCCTTGAGATGTTTGATTCACTTTTATTCTTTAACTCTATTGAAAAAACCCAACATATTTCATAAACTACCTAGGAGTTTTTCCCAAGCTTCAACAAAAGCGTGATGATGAATTGCCGAGTATTTATTGGGGACCACATATACACATACAATAAAATACAAATTTATAAAAGGAGAACAAAAGACACCTACTTTACTACAGAAATATTCCATTAATGCAGCACTACAGTAAACATGATAAGTAATGCGTGAATCATCACGAGCTAGTTTAAACACATATCTAGCAGACATTATGCCTTCAGCTCTCCTGGCGAATCGCATATATTGTATATAAGGCTAGAATATAAATTAAAGAACATAATTCAGATTATACAGTCAACCTGTATTTCTCTTCACAACAAAATTAATATACAACTATATAGATGACAATTCGTAAGATTATAAAAATATTAAATATTAGTTAAATAAGTAACGAACTGATACATATTCACATACCCTCAATTATAAGTCAGGCATCGTAAGTAAAAACCTTACATGAAGCAGTAACTTAGAGATTGAAAAGCACTTAGCCTTCATCTAGCAAATGGCAGGTCCGAATACCGCTCTAGTTACTCCTGTTTGAAGAGTCAAAGGGTGGTACCACAAGTACTAAGTGCTTAGCTCAAATCCCAGTAGGTAAACTTATCTTGGTAAGTGAGGTGCATTATTTCTGTACTACTACAATTATACTAAATATTCATACATAGCCATAATATTAAGTGACTTCACTCATTAGCACGATAATATATATAATTTAACTGAGGAAATGCATTCACTCTTCCATAAGACAAAAGGATGATTCAAAAGCAAGACGAAGTTCCATTTACTAGAATAGGTCAACCTCGATTTCGGAATAATTTGTTCACATTATCTGTATTGACTGTGTTATAATCTCTTTCTTCTTACGGTTATGACCCAGCTATTCCTATTGCTTAGTATTCTTGGACACCGATTCACTCGACAAGACCCCAAATCAGAACACGGTTGAACAGGAAAGAGATTATATTCCAAATAACAAGGTTAGATGGAAGCAAGATGCAAGCCAGAAGCACAATAGGGAAAACGTCAGTATATTTATAGTTTTCACATAAGAAGATTCCAGAGTATTCTCCAACTATCGACTAGTGCTGATCGGATAAGAATTAGCTAATCAGCGTGCACCAAAGCAATCATGCATTGAGCATGCTTAAATCTAGTCTATGTCCCGCTAACAGACTGATTATCAATTACACTGAAAGCATGTTCTAAGTGAACATCTGTCACCTTCAGTTGCAGTTGAAAACTTTTTTCAAGTTTTTTTTTGTTTGATGTGAGTTTATGAAAACCTTCAACATACTGATTACGGCTAAAATGAAAAATACACTACTCAATTTCCCGAAAGCATTTACACAAATTATAAAGGCTGATAATATGCTATAAATTATTTAAACAGTGATAATTCGAGAAAAATGTTCAACTGGAACGTGGAGAAGGTTGCAAATAGAGTTTGATTACAGTGCAATATCAAACACAACATGTTATGGTAGCTTAATTAGAAACTGTAAACGTTTACAAAAATGCCGGCGAATGGATGGGAATTTCTCAAATGTAAAGAAGAACTTAACTAATGTTCTCTGTAGTGAATGATATCAAAAACTCGACTGCTTAATCATGATAGTTGACTGCCGACTTTATAACAAAGTAAACTTAGAAAATAAAAAACCGAAAAGAAAAATGTCTCACTCACTAGTGTCGGATCAATATTCTCCAATGAAACTAACTTCTTGTAGATAGAATGAACTTTTGCGTACTTACATCGACCTTCTTCATAATCGGCATAAGCAAAATATAACATCATATTTGTTTTGAGTAAAGCAATAGCTCGTTCATACATTGCCGCTGTATCGTTGGCAAATTGTCTAGCTGTTGTTTGATCCTTTTACAAAAAATGGCAACAAGTAGAAAATTTATCAGAAAACACAAAAGGTTTTCATCAAATATAACGAAACTGTTTGATGACCACGATTCTTCCATATATATAATTCATATTTTGAGTAGGACTGAAATTCTACTACGTAACGGTCCCTGTAACCAAATATTAATACTAGACTCTTTACACATACATAAAAAGTGAGGCATGGTAGAGTGTGTACGCCAATACTTGGCAAATAAGTAACAATAAAACTGCGTATATTATACTAGAATAAAACCATAAAGTTGATTTGTGTTATTTAATCACAATACACTGAAAAAATTAGTTACTAAATGATTGGTAAATATTACACACAAAGTATATAAGTACGTACTCCCTTTTCAACCAAAATTTTGCTTGCATGATCCAAGTAGCTAGCAGCTTCATACCATATATCTGGATGATGTCCAAGACATAAAAGACATTGTTCATAGGCAAACATTACTGAAAGTAAACAAATATATATAATGAAACTTTTATGCAACTAATAATGACATGTTTTAAAAGTTGGCTTTCCGATAACGTAGTAATACGGTAGTTACCAAGCGGCAATGGTTATAATATGTCTCAGTGTCTATTAAACCATAACTCCTAATGTAGCTACAATACCAAATGATTATTCATAGCTCATGCATCAACCTGTGCTTGAATGCATAACAAAATTAATGAAACATTCAGCTAGGTTTCCGCCTATCAGCACGTCGACAGTTCTTACGCTGAAGAGATTTATTTAAATTAGCGCTTTCATATTATTATTATTATTAAAATTGCCTTCATCACCCTTTTCAACAAAAATCCTCGTTTGTGAGTTGATCTGAGAATGATTGTTGGGTTTTCGGTAGGAATGGTAAGTCAAATGATAAATCTGTAGAATTTTATCAACGATAGGTTGGAGAAAAGCCAAGAGTGCCCATCAGACCACCAAGTTACTGACGGTTGGACTGAACTATCTGATGAGACGCAAACTTCCTGACTGGGACCCACGCAACAGTCCTAGTCTGCAGTCACAGAAGCTGAGATGACTCAAAATCGATAGCAGAAGCACAGTCAAACAGTAACAACGTAGAACTTCGTACGTACGTACATCAGTTCGCGTCGCCATATCATATTAGCACAAAGATGCAGTTGTCGATCCAAATCCCATAGTGGTAGGGAAAGTAAGAGTATGGGCAGTAATCAGGAAGATTAGGGTTTGAAGATGTTACTCGAAGAGTACCATCTAGAGAAATAAATTTGAAAAGAGTAAAAAAGGGACATGAAGAATTCAGAAGATTAGAATTTGGGAGAACACAAAGAGTGGATGCACCTGCGCCATTGCAGACGATTTTGAGCCATGAAGTTCCACTACTTCATCAACTGATTTGCCATCCTTACCTAGTACGCGTTTCCTAACAGTTGCATTACTTACTCGGTGGTTCCAGGATATACAAGCAATGTTTCGAAGAAGCACAACTGAATTCATTTCCCATCATCCTCCGTATTTTGTACAACCCTACTACTGGTTGGTTCCATCCTCTCCAAAGCGTAATGTGCTGATTTTCACACAAAAACTGTTGCACAAGAATAGACGATCAAAGTGGTTAGGAGTAATGAGCTGGTGAAAGCCTTTCAGAATAAGGAAATACCAATATATATCATTTTTTCAGCTTGATTTTTTATGTCCCAGTCATTCTTTAGCAAAAGGAAATCACTATAGATTATGAATAGTAATAACCATATATAATCGTTGAAAAAATAAATGGTTTCCTAGTGTGAATTCGTGACTGAGAACATACAGTTTAGGGCATATGAAGGACCCTGGCTAAGTTCCCTAATCGGACACCAATGACTGAAAATCTAAGGTCATTGAAGATCAAACAGTGATTGTAAATGAAGTTCCTAACCTCAAGAACAAGTACTACTTTTACTAAAGGTTTTCTGGTACTTTTAAAAACACTACCAACCTCTTTTTGTGACTGTGATGATATCTTCTGTTTTCAATGGATTATCTTTTTCCCATTGAATATACTTCTTCCATAGTTCGACCTTAAAAGCAAAGTAAAAAGCAGTGTAAAAATTTAGATAGAACCAGTGTTAACTTCAAACGAATTAAAAACGTATGACCAAGACTGATTACACACAGAGCAACTACTGGAAACTTAATTTTCAAAGTGGTCGGAGGAAATTTCGGTCAAAAAACTTATCCAATAAATTGATAGTGTTATGACTGGTGGTCGACTGTTATGACTACGTCAACAATTGTTATATCTGCTCGTCGCTAATTGTTATATCGGAATCGCTTATCACTTATACTTGTAAAACGAAGAACCACTGCAATTCCCAAGACGCGAAAGTAAGAACACAAGGACTTCTACAAGTGAAGATTTACTAAACCCAAAACACGGCTACCACAATATTCGAAAATACATTCATTTATATATTGATTTGTACACACGTTTTGGTTATTAATTAGTACGAAATCACATATATCGAAAATACTTACAGTTATAACAAATCATATGGTGAGTATAGTTTATGTTAACTTAATACAAGAATATCGTATGTTATACAGAATAAAATATCATACGGGAAAAGAAAACCGAATGCTACACTGAATAATTATCACATTGAATTAAAACGGAAGTAATGGACAAATATCATAACGAGTAAAAGAACGTAATTTTGACTTTTCATCTCGTCATATCAGATAGATTTAATACAAGTGCATTTACTTTGAATTGACATAAGGTAATAAACAAATTCTTGCTTTACTTTAAGACCCATATTGCAAATAAATTTTTCATACAGGTTTGTTAAGAAAAGACCCTGCAAATACATCACTTATGAACGAGCGCTTCAAAATTAGAACTCATGAGTCTTTTGGTGAATTTATTACTTCTAATAGATAACAATGACCAACTATTTTCACTGATAAATTACTACGGGTGAAGTTATTGGTTAAGTAATCGAAGACAACTGCTTTGAACTATTTTGTGTAACCTCTATTATACGAGTAGAGTAGCGATAAAATAGGTTATTCAGTCTGATAGATTAATGTTTTTCCGCTCATTTTTATTGACATCATGCATTTGAGTGGGGATATAAACAACGCAGACTAATAGGAACTGTAGACCAGTGAAAGCATGACTAATTCTTATGCATATTGGTCCTACTAATTAAAAAGTAAGCCAGAACTAACTTGCAAAGCAGGGTTAAAGTCTGTGAACAAATATTCAGGTCCTTTCACCATTAGGGAACTATAAACGTCATAGAGAAGTCTTGCAGTAAATACTTTAACACACCATATGGTGATGTGGTAGATTAGTAGTTATGGCGTTCAACCTTTAGTCTCAGGTTCGGACCCCGTTTGATCTGCTTTAGTCTGGGCAACCAGGTAATATTATTACCCCTCCGGATGTGGCTGTTACACAAATAACTGGCAAATGACTTAATTAAAATTAGAACATACCATATGAACTCACCTGTTTAGCTTCATACGGTGTATTTTGGGGTGGCACTGACGGCATAGTCCTGGACAGTCCTTTTGTAATAACTTCATATTCTTTAGCTACACGACGTGCGTTCATATAGTCCCGACTACGTTCCTCGGTAAACTTTTTCGCGATAAGAGGATTAATTGAGTTTTCATACATGCAATAATCACGCCAAATAGTTTCGATACCAAGCATAGGAGTGACAATTGCACGTTGGTACACACGTCTAGTTGCAGTTATTTTTTGACTTTCTGCATATGAACCTTGAACTTGACTATACAAAAATCATAAAATATAACATAACTTCCTGTTTGCAGTTATGCTATACTTTTCACAACTACCCAATCAAGATGAAGTCTCGTGAAATTAGGGTGAAATGCATTAATTACAGGACACTTAACACATAGTTCATTAAATAACTGATCATACATATGTATCACTAATCCGCTGAATTAACATTCAGGTTATTTGAATTTTCGCTAGCTTCTAGATTACCAATGATTATACCCATAGTACTAACACCCGTTGATTTGAATTAAGTGATATTCCTATAAATAACTGACCATATGGAAATTGGCTTTCGTTTTTTCAACTATTCATGAGAGGATGAGTTGCATAAAATATGTCCGACAGAACCATATCGATCCACTGCTTTACTTCAAAAGACACGGGAATAGGATATCTAAAACTCAATAGAACTTACAACAGAAACGTGTAAGGTCGGTAGTATCCAAACAAAACCTATTTGTACTGAACCTAGACAACCTTCAAGCTCCTTCACATGAGAGTAATGAGACGGTGTAAAAATGGCTTAAAGGACAAAACCTACAAATTAAGTGAATCAAAATAGGTAGCTATTTAATGACATACCTCGATGGTTTCTGGGAACCAGACAGATGGACTTTGTACTTCTCAGTAGTCGATTAACGGTATCGAAACCCTCAATTTTTTATTTAACAAAATCTCATTATAACACAAGATGCTAAGAACCGAAAACTTCGACCTGAAACGTCTACAGTCGCTCGAACAATACTAGTAATTTTAGTCAGATCGACTCTACGTTGTTTTCCAAACTAGAACAGGTTCAACTTGTTAGGTTAGAGACATCCAAACAAAAACCCACTCTGTTATACACATAGTTATTTAACTTTACACAACCGGGAAAAAGTACTTACGTTGAACGAAGAAAGGATATGTAGTCTGCCCATATTGAATAAGAATTAAGATCTAAGCCCATTTTATCCAGAGTAAAATCGTAAGCTTGTGCCATTTTCTCCCTAAAGTGAAAAACGGTCAGACCAAGTATATCCCTTACTTAAAAGATTGATGCTTTCCTTTAGTTTCCTTAATATACTGCAAGTATATTTTCCATAAGTCAATGTTTAATATCTTAACTAGACAACGCTGAAATAATTTTTCGACCCTTTCATAATTTTTGGCTTTCATCTGAAAAGTTGCCTAAAAATCATTTAAGTTACCTCTTGATTAATATAAATCTTCCAATACTGACCAGCTACCGGAAACTGTGTAACAATACGTTCAAAAACTTCCCTTGCATCATCAATCTTTTTACTTTGAGCATCACGCAACAAAACACTCCATGCCTCGATATCCCAGGGATTAGACTTGATTCTTTCCTCTGCCTTCTGCATTTTGTCCATTTTGTACACTCTCCTTTGCATAAACGGCATTTTGCTAGTTTTGAGTAGGATCTCGTAGTGTAACAAAGTTTGTCAAAACTACCGCTAATCAATACGTTATTTAATACCTATCCAATGCAAGTGCGAACGTGAAACTAGCTATATTTGCAAATGGTTTAAGTGCTTCAAATGGTTTGGGACGGAATGTAAGAAGCTTTCTCTCTTTGGTATACGTGTCTATCAGCAACTAATCACTAATACCTCCAGGCAAATTGGTAGTATCGACTTTAAACACTGACTCTATTTCAGTGTACCTAGTTACCTTCGGTTAGTATACACATTGGCATTGGATTGCGCCTAGATGTTGGCATTTTGCTGACGGTAATTTATTCACTGTGGAGAAGTAAAATAGCTAAATGAGTGTTACAAGTATGTGGATATGATTTCTTTCAATCAATTGGCTATTATTCAGTCTATGTATCAGACTTGGTGACAGTGATCCGTAGTAGAAAATGAATCCCCGAAATGAATAATTTCGTAACTTTTCGACACTTATAATCGAAGGATACCAACCCAGTCAAATCAGAAGTCAACGATGAATGAGTTTGAAGATAGATTTGGAAGGTTGTCGATGTGTTCAGAAGCGTTTAATTTAAGCCGGTTAATAATTGCAGAAGATGAGTAGCACGGTGTACGAATTTGTGATTCGCTGTGGATGTAGGAACGATCTCCTTCAGCCAGGGTACGTCCAGTAAAAATAATAAGGTCAGGACCAGTTTCAAAGACTTACAGAACTATTTATTTTGGTAGTTTATCTACTGTCACAGTCCTAGGTGGATTAATCTCAAGATGCAATGCTCACTGATTCCAAAAGCGCTACGATGTCAAGGCAAGATATTTCTCATTCTATACAGTAAAGTTTTATGACTAAATCTCAATAAATGTGCCAAGGAAATTCTGAGACCCCAAATAGAATGTTCAAATTAAATTTGTCAAATCCCATTCATAAAACTAGGGAGACAATCAGAGGATTCCCATTCCAACGATAGAAGCGGATGGGTTTTAAGCGGTAAGAAACTACCCGGAATGAGGGTTATATATTTATTTACTCTCCCAAAATGTGTCCGAACTAAGAGTTGGTGGCAAAAAGGATGACAGAAAAACTGTGAAGTGCGAAATTTAGAAAGAAGGGAGCACTGAAGGCACTATGTACTTAAGATTCATTCAAGTTGGCAGTTACCGATAAATTACGCCCCATGTTGACTAGTTAAATTACGAGATGTTGTATTTCTTTCTCAATAACGATTTCACCAATAAACGTTAAAAATGTGATATTCACTAAGGTTTCCAAAACAGAGTCTAAAGACCACTCATCAGAATATAGGCATATTAATTTCACAAACACAGTTTCAGAAATTTTACAATGCATCCATAAAATTACTGTCCGTTAGATGAAGTACACACAAGGAATTTTGAAGCATAATCGATCACAAAAAACCTATTGGTAGGGGGAAATCGGATTGATTTTTTAAGAACGAATAAATTGACGCTGGCTTAGGCGAGATTTTGACAAAACTTCGTACATTTAACTCTCTTATCAGTGGTAATTCATATTTTAAATGCCGCTATTAACTTTCTGTAATAACTAAAGATTTGATAACAATGTGTGCAATAAGAAGGTCTTGCGCCAAGTGAAATAAGAATATATTTACCAAACTCCGCAGAGCCACAGTGAGGTTTAGATCTAAAAACAGCTCTCATGCAGCAAGCCTCTATTAAAAAGCCAATTTGAATTTCCTGACACGATATCTTGGAACTGCCAACGGTACAATCCCAGCTAACCTCAAGATAAACGGTTTCGAAAGATCGCTAGTTCTCTACACATTATTCTATGGTAGATTGTGGTGCATCAGATAATAGGAAATAATTTCTAGCAAAATACATCTTCTCATGTTCTTTCGAGCAAGTCGATTAAATCCTGTGTAAAATGTGGGCGAGTCCAAAGCCGAAAATGGACTGAATCTCCATAGTATACGGGTCTACCCACCGTTTGATGAACTAGGATCTGCCTCCTGGGTGTCTCCGCTCTCTAAATCGACAAATTCAAGAGAAATATGGATGTATAAAAAATCTGAAAATGAAGAAAACATAAAGTCCGTCTTCCTTTCGAGACAGTAACATGATTAAACAAGATAATTTCACTTACCTACCAGATAGGTTGAGAAATCAATGTTTCAGCGACTCTTCTCATCTTAGTTGCAAAATTGATGACTGATCATAGTGAACGGTCAATCATCTTTCATTGAGTCAGGGAGAGCGATAGCCATGACCTTAGAATTCGATTTGAGAATGAAACCGGTTTGATAAGAGTTCGTCATGATCGGACTAATTAAAAGAAAAGAAGATATAAAAACTAAAGCTAAGATCAGTTGTTGGCTAGAAAATTCTTAAGAGTGTAAATTTCACATGATGAGGCTTCGACAACTAGTGATTTCAAAGTCACTTTGGGTGAAACAAGAATCCACTTAAATGGACTTCCTGTTCGTTTCAGAAATGCCCAGAACTTGCCCAACAAGCTAACCCAGCGATTTTTCCAGACAAACCTTATCAAGCCGGATGTGGTCGTTGTCATCGAAATTTGGGTGATCCAGCCTGTGGACAATAGAGGACATGTCCTTCAAAATCTCATATGGGTAAGAGCTAAAAGAACGCGGAAGTGTAAAGAAGAAGGAGTATTCTTTGTCTTTAGGAGTAATATTATTTTTACCACCATCGATAACATATCCCATAAGGGTGGAGCGTTCGGATTAGTTTTCGCCTGAAATGCAAAGGATAAGAGCTGCTAACTAGTTTGGTTTGCCTCAGTTCAAACTGTAAGGCGAATGTTTCGTGCCTTAAGGTAACCATCGTACTATAAATATAACGCCTATGCAAAATAAGGAAGTGAATAAATACTTGAACTATACTGTTTTGACATATGCTTGGTTGTTTGAGGTCAACTCTCAACCAAACAACCTAAGCTATTACAAATGTACTGTCGCAAGGCGAATTAAAGGCTTGTTATTTAATCGGCCGATATTTAATTTTAGAAGAACCTAATTCACCAACGATTGGCAGAAAAATCGAAGAACTTAGTTGTCAGGAGTTTTCTTCCAACGAAACCACCTGACGCGGTCATTACCTGTGCAACATAAGAAAAGGGCAACTAAGTACGAGATGAACCCCGAATCATCTTTACTAGATCTCATATTGATGACACCACGGAAACTGTCCACTCAGTGTCCTCAACTGACTGGACAACAACACAAAAACCCAGCATTGAAACAAAGTGTGAGTATTTAGAAATTTGTACATTAAAATGTCGTAGCATTACGCGTTTTTTGTAATACATGGGAGAACCTGAGAAACTTCCCACTATAGCTCAGTAAGGTTTCTACCCTCCTCTGTAATAGGGAAAGGATGTTAGAGGGACTTAGGTTACTGGTGTGATAAAATATCAATATCAAGAAGCTCGAAATATTCGCGCTTCGACCCTACACAGGTCTAGAAAATAACATGAAGAAAAGTCCATTGTGGAGTCTGTGGAATACAATGAAGGCTTATATTCGTACATAAAGTAAAAGACCAAGAGAAAAAGCAACATATCATTATTATAGGAGATGGTAGTACCTCATCATTAATGTAAGATGATTACGATAATGCTGGTGTATTATCAAATAACCTTTCCAATGTATATATAGTACTAGTTTTATTTTCTAAGATTCATACAAACCCTCCTTACAACATAATGATCATTAAAAAACCCTTTGGTCTGTGTAATTGAGCTTGAATAATGTAAATCTAGAGGACCTGATGAAAGGTGTCCTAGATTACTGAAGGGACTGGTAAATGTTATTTCAAAACCCCATAGCATATGCTTTGATCTATGTGTAATTCAAGTGAGGTTGTTAAAAGGTTAGAAGAATTCCGCAGCTGAGAAATTGTGCTAAGTGGGATCAGTATTATTCCTCCTGTGCGAAATGACCTACATAATTTCTTTTCATAATCGGTTTCGTCGTATGCTGAAGATATCGAGATATGGAGAGCCATAAGATATGTAGGCTATAGTTTAGATCCTCAAATTAGCCTATAGGATTCATCTGAATTGTATATAATTTAGCAGTTTCTGATAGATACTTTCAAGTGCATCACGATACATATTGATCTCCAATGTATAGATGAATGCACAGTGAATGACCTTAGGCCATCTGTTCCTGGTATACATAGACCTAAGAGTCATCTTTAGCCAAGACTTGAAGACCACTTCACACTGTCGCGCGGTGGCCGTATGGTCAATATGTTAAATATTTAGCCATCTGCTTACCAAGGATCATTTAGACTTTACATACAACATCCATTCGTTACAAACTTAAGTATTCCATGCAAGCAACTAGCTCCTGCCTAAAATAAGGCAGAAATGTGTCGGGAAGTACAAAAAGGAACGGCAGCTAACTTGATTTCCTGCATTGCAAGGCTGCCATATGAGTAGAAACTGGGTTAAATATGCAGACAAGAGGTGACATGATCACAATTTTTTAATCACCAAATAATAATAAGTTTACAGCTGAAACACCTTTACATTTCCTGTCTTTTGGGATGAAGAATTTACGAGAACACGGGGAATGTTCACGACTTCAAAACAAATTACCTGTTTATTGATTGACGATTCTGTCATCAAATCATTAACGGATGGAACCATTATCCTTTAAACATAATCAAGGCTCCACCCGTTGACGCATTCAGAGGAGAGTTGAATGAACTGAGAAATCACCATTACTAAGACAAACATGGGCTACCTAATCTCCCGTCCCTTCTAAAATGAAACTGAAATCGAAGTGGATCTACCATTAAGTCAAGTTAGTTTTCCGAGTATGTATTAATTAGTTATGTAACTTTATTATGAATGACTGTAGGCCCCATCCTGGTGGTTTAAATAATTGTATTTCTTCCACCGTTAGTGAACAGCGATCACGCTGTTCTGTCATTCACGTTTAGAACTAGGGACATGTTATACGATCAGGTCACACCCCGCCCAAATGTATGGAAAGCTAACATATCAGTCATTCAGGAATGCGCTGCTAAGACAAATTGGTTTGTAGATACTAGCTTGTCAGTTGAAGGAGCATGGTCTGTATTTGAAGGTAAGTTGAGTTTATTTACGTCTTCATTCATACCCTACCTGGTACCACGAAGACCGAATAAAAATCCACCATGAATAACGAAGACAGTCAGGAAACTTGTTATAAAAAGGAAGAAGCACTGGAATATGTTCATTTCTACTGGCTTAGAACAATACATATCCAGTTATTGTAAGATTAGGAATGCCTGTAAAGCGTTAATAAGTAGGACTAGACGATCATAGGGATTCTAGATATAGTCCGAAACGGTTATTCTTGTATTTAAAAAGGCAAACTCAGAGAAGCGATGGAATTCCATCACTTTTGATACAAGGAGATCCGTTAATCTTGGCAGAAAGCTGAAGCTTTATCATTAAAGTGTTTTCTATCGGTAATGAGGAACGACCAACGATTAATTGTGATCGCGGCGGCTCGCTGTTGGACCCTTTAGTCATTGAGGAAGGTACTGTTTTAAGGCTACTTCAGCATCTCAGACGTAATAAGCCCAGTGGTCCTGATGGTGTTCATCCTAGGATTATGGAAGTCATATCAGATGTGATTGCTGAACCATTAGCGATACTGCTTGACATGTCTCTGAGGTGGTCCAGACTGCCAAGAGACTGGAAAGACGCTATAATAAGTCCGGTGCATAAGGCCGGGAGTAGGGATTTGGTTATTAACTATAGGCTCGTTAGCTTAACTGGTGCAGTTGTAAAACTGATGGAAAAAATCATTCGGATAATTGTTATAAACTGTGTTGAAGGGCATAATCTTTTCTCCCGGGCACAACATGGTTTTCGGAAAGACCTATCATGCTTGACAAATCTCATTGCAAGAGAAGATTGTGCTGCTGCAAACGATTGGAATATTCCTGTGGATGTCATCTTCATAGATCTAAGTAAGGCCTTCGATAAAGTCTTCCACTCTGGTCTTAAATTCAAACTGGAACGTTTTGGAATTCATTATACAGTCGTAGATTGGATAAGTAAGGGTAAATGGGGCTCTCTCCTCTTGAGTAACTGTAAAAAGTGGAGTTCCTCAGGGTACAATACTCGGTTCTCTTCTCTTTTTACTTTATGTAAATGAATTAACAACTATAGCAAAACCATTCGTTTTACTCTTCGCTGATGACATAAAAATTTGGAGACCCATACACAGTATGTCGGATAGGATAGTATCACAGATTGATCTTAGCTCATTGGTGGCATGGTTGCACAGGTGGTCACTAGAAGTAAATCCTAATAAGAGTGTAGTGATGCAAATAAATAACTATGATGAATCGTATCACTATACAATATGTGGATTCGTGCTACCCAAAGTAAGAAACTATAAAGATTAAGGAGTCATAATAAGCAGTGGTCTCAAAACCACTAATCACAGTAAGGCTGCTGCTGAGAAAAGCTATAGGCTATTGTGGTCTAATCGCAGGTATTTTCAGTATTTAGACGATGAAATGCTTAGATTACTATTCTCGATTTACGTTCGACCACATTTAGAATATGGGATTCAAGCAGAGTCCTTGCTTTAAGTATGAAGGAGTCCAACGACGAGGTACTAAGATGGTAAAAGGTCTATCTGGCCTATCTTATGAAGACAGGCTGAGACACCTTAACTTATTTCCGTTATCTTACCGTAGAATACGGGGTGATCTAATATTGGCTTATCGCATATTGAACGATGACATTGGTACTAACATGTATTATCTTTTAATTCCATCTAGGACTGATCATTTAAGAGGACATTCGAAGAAAGTTCGAAAACCGAGATCAAATCGTTTACATCTAGATTTTCGTTTCTCGCACCGAGCAGTGAATTACTGGAATTCTCTACCGGAACACGTAATATCAGCACCTTCCGTTAATATATTCAAAATGAGATTAGACCTACACAGTAATACAAACTGCAAGGATTAATATAGGTCGATAGGCTTCCTATATTTAATACTGAAGTTTGTTAAACCCATTCAATTACTTTAACAACATTCTGTCCTTGATAGAGCGCAGTAATTGATGTTGTTTGGTACATAGTCATGTTTCTTCTGGTTACAATTTTTGTTAACTTGGCTTTGTCAGCTACCAACGCCATTTTTCCAGACATTACATTACACGAGTGTGCTTTAACAAAGGGATGCTTGAGACCTGCTATGTGTACCGAGTCATCTTGTGCATTTCTTGTCACCTGGAAGTTGGTGTCCGTGAAGTCTGAAAATTACGTGGAATTTGAGCTTAGAGGGAATGTTCAAAAAGTTACAGGCTTTATAGCACTGGCTTTCTCAAAAGATCAAAGAGTGGTGAGTTATCGTGTTGAGACAATGTGGATTGGTGCTTTCTATCTATTTATTGTTTATTCATATAATTTCAGCATTATGATGTGCAAATATGATCTCACTCAAAGTGCTAAAGCCGATTTTATCATCCGTGATCATGTATGGTGTAGACTCTTACATATGTCATGGTCTTAGAAATATGTTCTCACTATCCTCATTTGTCAAGTTTAGTGGTCACAGTGTCCTTCAAGTCAGTAAACCACTTGATTCGTTTTAACTTATATGTTCGCTTTGCACACGATATTTATTCAACAAGCTTTCAGGTGTCGAACATCTTATATGATATCATTCACTTGACTATTAAAAGCATTCTAGGGGTTTTCGACACATTGTTTCCTTTGGATATTTTTATCATGTGTGTAGCTTTTCTAGCTACTAACAGTCAATGTATTCTAAACCAGATACTACAGGAAGATTTATTACCCAATTTAATGATGCTATCCCAGTTTTCAAAGCCTCAACTTCTCAAGGTCCTTTGGCTCACTAGCGAACACTAATATTTAAGTGTAGATCCATACTCCTTACAGGTTTATTTCTACATGTATTGATAACTTAGGCGCTATGTAATATTAGTTACTGATAATAGATGTGTTCACTACTATAAAATACATAAGACATCTAGTTTCCGGGAATTTACGTCGGTATTTTTTAAACGTATAAAAGCTTGTCAGCCCTCATATTTAGTATGATTGACATCATAAATATCAGTCCCCAGCTCAAAAAGTTGCTGTAATACCTCTTGTTTCCTGTTTCAATGCAACTGATTCATGTTGTTTTTGGGTTTTATATTTCAGTTTAGGAAGGACATGAGTCTGGGTGGTCTGTGTTAGTCTTGGCGATAGGGGTCTCTCAATTCATTCAACTTTTTCCGGAATTACGATAAATGTTTGTCTTTCTTTCTTGTTACTATTCGTACAAGCTTATTCAAAATGAGCTTATCTAACAAATACAGAACATGTATGTTAGTTAACATATTTGAGACAAGGTTATAAGGACAATCAATATGTCAATTTAAGGATATTTTGTGACTGAAAATAAAGGTAGAACCACTGTCTGACAAATTTTATGAAATAAGTAAACTACTAATGAACTCCTTCAGGAAAATGAAATATGAGCAATAGATAAAGACACTAATAATATCGATGAAAACGACAATGTTATATATCAAGCTGCGAAAAGTATTGTTACTAAAACAGGTTAGTCGGTGAAGTTCAGCAAAATAGCAACCAAGTAAATAATTTTCTCTGTAAAATTTTAGCAAAAATGTTTCATTAATTACAACTTTTGGTACGTCTGGCAATGGAAAACGAACAAACTTGTGAGATTTTAAAAGCACTCTTACGTTGTCATTTGTGAGTTTTATTGTTTTCTTACCTAGCTGCACTAGACGTTACACCAGAAACCAAAGTATTCCCGACCTATTTTTTAACGTCTTATGGGAGTTGTAAGCATAGATAACTATAGATATAATCAGGTTTACTAACAATAATCGTTTAAATGTTCTCGAGATTCTCAGTTGTGTTAGATGCTAGAAAAGTAAGGGGCTTACTTTTGCTTGTTGTTCATTCTATTTTCCTTTTTGTTTACGTATTTTCCAACCACCAGTTTCTGTTTTTATTCTCTCGTGTATTATTGTTCGTTGTGGTTTCAAGTTAAATCGAAACCTTATTTGCTTAATTCAAGCTAATAATGTTTCGATCAAGCCTTATCGTTACCTAATATTTCGGATAAGAGATTCAAGGTATGCTATTCTAAACCTGGATTTCAGACTAATAAGTTAATTTTAAAATATACGATATGTTGAGACAAAAACGTTATCCGAGGTTGATGGGAAGAATTCAATTATATTTGTGTATTGTAGCAAAAGCTCTTTACTTAACGTAGCAATAAATAATTAAAGCGACGTTTCAGTAGTAATTTATCAGAAACTACTTTTTATTCGTATCCTGAAACTTATTACTTTGTTTTCTCCTGTGATCATTGGTAAGTCAATGGGTCGGATAAATTATGAATTCGTTTTTTAAGATCGTTCATCGTTTTTGTGCTACGTCTAATCCACCTTCAATGTCACTACTTATACTGCTCTGGAATTTGTCTTGGTAATTTTATTCTTCTGAGTTAATGTGGTATGACATCTTGAACTGACACTTATTTATTTATTTGAACACATAAATATTGGTACAAGAGAGCACTAAATATATATGCGCCACACGAACAATGAGAATGGGAAGAGAAAAAAAGAAGGTAAGGAGCGCAAAAGAAAAAAAGAACAATAACGACCAGATTAGTGTAAGGTAGTATGATAATAATGGTAATGGGGGGAACGGAAGGGTAGAATCAGAAAGAAATCTTTCAGTTAAGGAAGATACAACCACTTTTTATGAAGAAAGTAAAAGGTTACAGCAGGATCGCCACTGGCTTTTATTCTGGGCCATATCTGATAACGTCTCTAGCTTCTGTGTCGCACCATCTCTCGGACCCCAGCCAGGGAGTCGTGAAGGACCAACAGAAGCCAGTCCCGTGCAGCTTTCTTTCATACCCTGACACCATGTCATGCACTGACCACCTCTCCGCTTCTTCCAACCAGTCCCAGAGTCGGCAAATAATGCGCGACGTGGAATTCTCTGGGATGACATTCGTAGAACATGTCCAGGCCACCGAAGTCGGTGTTTCAAGATGGTGACACCAATTGAATTATCGTCTCTGTGCCCGAACACACGATGCTATGTCTTGTAGAAGTACTTTGCACTTCGAAGGTGCAAAGCACATACCATACTTACGGGCACTGATTGCCAACTGATTAATTGAGGATTGCATGGCTTGGGTGTTATCGCACAGTAAGACAATATCATCCGCATACTCAAAGTCGAGAAGTCTTTCTTCAGGCAACAGATCCACACCACTATTACCTACATCCATCAGAGCTGTTTCCAGAATGTCATCTATGGCAAAGTTGAAGAGGAATGGTGAGATTGGGCACCCTGTCTAACCCGACTGCTTGAATAGAACAGTGAAGAGAGGTGGTCGTATGTCATAACTCTACCCGAGGTGTTTGTATATAGGGCTTTTAGGATGTTAATAAACTTCTCAGGCACACCCTTCTTCAATAGACAGTCACAGAGAACAGTCCTGTCCAACGAATCGAAGGCAGCCCTGATGTCAAGAAACACTACGATTGTTGGCCTTTGAAAAGTATGGCGGTGTTTCTAACATTTGGCGGAGGGTGAAGCTATGATCAATACATCCTCGACCAGAACGAAACCCAGCCTGCTCCTCGCGAGTCAATCTTTCTCGAGTTTTGAACAACCTACGAAGTATGACGGAAGCCAATAGCTTGGACGCAATCGGAAGTAGACTTATCCCCCGATAGTTGTTACGGGAACGATGTGAACCCTTTTTAAAGATAGGGACAACTATCGACTCATTCCATGACGTTGGTACACTCTCTAGTTCCCAGACCTTTGTAAACAACACTGTCAGTTCCTTAACCAGAAAGTCACCACCATTTTTAAAAAGAGCCGGAGGTAAGTCATCTGGGCCTGGTGATTTGTAGCGCTTCAAGAGTTGGAGTTCCTTGCGGACTTCCGCCTCATTCGGTTGATCAGCCGTCATCGGCCATGGAGAGCAGGACAGTCTGACCGATGTTGCCGGAGCAGCAGGTTAGTTGAACTGTCCTTCGAAGAATTCTGCCCATCGTCCAAGACGTCGATGGATGTTAGTGATTGGCGTTTCGTCATCCTCGCAGATTGTTTCGCTCACACCAGACTTCTTGCTGCCAGTGACTCGGATGAGTTGGAAGAGCTTCCGGTAGTTACCAGATGCAGCTGCTGCTTCCAGCTCATTAGCACGCTCCGACCACCGGGCTTCTCGGTCCTTACGCAAGCTTCTCCCGATTTCATTACGTAACAGCCTTCGTTTCTGGTAAAACTCACGGTCACCTGGAGTAGACTGACGGGCTTCGATTAGTTTTAAGGAGCCTGAAGAAACCCAGTGATTGTAAGCGGGACGTTTCGCGAACCCACAACTGACTTTATTCGCCATTTTCATGGCGTCATTCAATTGCAACCAATGCTCATCTATACTTTTCGGTGGAATGGTAGCTAGCCTAGAAGCTAGCTCGGTTCGATACTTACTTCCAACAGAAGTTGCAACCAACTTGCTGACATCAACCCTTCGGTGGCGATCACTTCGTCGTCCACTGAAAAGTAAGGCAAGATTGGCGCAGACCAGGGCATGATCAGAGTCCAGATAGGTACTCCAAAAGGAGCGGCAGTCTTGTACACAACCACGCCAGCGGTTGATCGCGATGTGATCAATCTGAGTCCAGACTTGAGATGCAGAGGGAGGACGCCAGGTGGTGCATCGGCGATGACTGTGCCGAAAGTTAGTGCTAGCCAGAAACAGGTTGTGGTCTGTGCACAGTTGCAGTAGACGGTCCCCGTTATCTGACCTGCGACCAACAAGCCCTCATCGGCCACCTAAACGACTCTCTTCTGTGCCTAGACGCCCGACCTGAGCATTCAAGTTTCCGGCTAGTACTACAATATCTGTGGAACGCACTTTCTGAAGAAGAATAATTAACTGGTGGTAGAATTCATCCTTGATTACATCCGGGCTGCGATCTGTCGGGGTATAGGCGGAGATGACGAAAAGACATCGTTTCTCACGCCGATTTCTTCTCACTTTGATGGAACCTTCTAATGTTACAGCACACAACCGACTATTAATGGGAGTCCAATCGACTGGTGCTGCCTCAGCTCTAGTGCTTAGTGCGACACCAACGCCAGCAAGACCAGACGAAGATGCCACAGGGTCACCGAATAAATACATGTAAAACATGCTTTTCGAAGCGACAGATGGAGAGCGAATTTGTAGTACTTCACCAGAGTCTTGAATACGGGTCTCGGATAGACAACAGATGCCGATATTAAGACTTTCCAAAGACATAACCAGCTCTATCTGTT